GTTCGTTGTCGGGTGGGGGTTGGGTGGGGTGGGGGGGGGGGGGTGGGGTGTGGGGTGGGGGGGGGGGGGGGGGGGGACTGACACCAGGAGATTCTTGAAAAGCTCAGAACGAGTCAGAATGCCTGACAGGTGAAGACATTGGTAAGTGTGTACTTGTAAATACACTGATCTTCAGAGTTGACTGTTCTCCAAATCTGATGAAGTTTACACCTGATCTGGTTTGTTCCACGACACCGTTCCTTCCCTTAGCTATAACTGATGAGCTATAGATTAAATATGTAGGACAGCATGTTCCCACATCTTTCTGAACGTGTCACAGTGCTGTAAATGTACGGAGCAGAACATTGTTTTGCTTCTGTTTGCATTATACAACCTAAAAAACAGCACCATTAGTCCCACTCTTGTCATGTTTGCACCTCAGCACTAGTGCTAACAGTGAGGAGGCATCATCATCTGTGGGCCTTGGGGCAATGAACTGACAGATTAATCCAAACATTATTGAATGGTCTGCATTAAAGACATGACATTTGACTTTTAAACATTAATTTATTTATGAATGTATCAGTCCTGCTACATGAAACAAGGTTCAGTCTTTCCCTACAAACTGAGTCACTCCTGTTAGAAATCTCATCATTTTGACGTTGGAGACGACGTTTTGTGACTCTGAGCGTTTTAACTCAAATCATTTGTGTTTGGACTTCCTGGCCAGAGCTTGCAGATTAGCCGGCGCGCCCCACACTGTCCCAAACACGTCCTTCTCTGTCCTCAGAGCCTCGGACAGAGGGAGCTCTCTCCCTGACACCACTACTTTCTTCACAGCCCGGATAACCGGAGCGGGTCCTTCGGTGTAGCGGCTGATCCAGTTCTCAGCCCGCTGCAGGGGGGTTCCCGCACCCTCGGCTTCCTGATTGTCCTCCAGAACTCCATCTGCCAGTCCGATGTGCACTCCAAGCTCATAGTCCACTTTAACAGCACCACCCAGCAGCTTCAGAGCATTCTGGCTTCCGACAATGCGGACAAGTCGTGCAGCGCCGCCCCAGCCCGGTACCAGACCCATGTGTTTGTGGACGAACTGGACCACGCTGCCCGGTGTCATTAATCTGTAAGGGAGAGAGGGCAGTTGGTTAGCAGGCTGGGTTATGAGCCGCCAGGTGAAATGTGACGTAAGTTACCTGAAATCGCAGGCAGTGAGGAGTTCTGCACCTCCACCCAAAGCTTTCCCCTCCACCACAGCAACAGAAACCAGAGGCAGCCTGCGCTGAGAGAAGCGCTCCGTCAGCACGCTGCGAAACGGGTCGGAGGACACCTAACCCAGGCCTATTCAACTACATTTGCTCGGGGGGGGGGCACAGTTTCTGAAAGCCAACAGCTCGAGGGCCGGACATCCAGAAATTAAAGTCAATATGTAAATAAACCAAAGTTTGTTACCTTTTAAATGTGTTTATTTTATTGCATTGAATCAAATGCAATAAAAGGAACCCAAACTCAGAACAAAAAAAAAAAAATATATATATATATATATATGTATATATATTTTTATGAAGTGGGCCAGATTGAAGTCACTCGCGGGCCGGAAATGGCCCGTGGGCCACCAGTTGAATAGCCCTGACCTCTTTACAAGATGAAGCACAGGAGCTCTTACCTGAGCAGCCTTGTAAGAGCGTCCTGCATGAACATGCACATTTTCATCCCGTCCTGTAAGAGGAAAACATGCAATCCAGTGTGTTGGGGATGACTCTCAGCTACTACCACACAAACTTCAGCTCCATTCTGTACGTTTGGCTCAGTAAAAGTCATTTTTGTGTTGATTAGCTGTCGTGTATACAACAGTCGGCTCCATGCGGCACTACCTGTGGGTTGGAAATCGCTCGGACAGCGTTGAGGTCCGATCCAGAGCAGAAGGTCCCAGCAGCACCCTGAACGATGAGGCCTTTCCCTTCAGCCCAGTTCTCCAGCTGGGTCACCCTCTCCTCCAGGTCCACCATCATGCTGCCTGGCAGGAACGAGGGGGAAGTCTAAACACTGGACTGAGCCGTCCGTAAAGAAGCATTCAGGGATAAACGTGCAGCCGTCATACCGGAGAAGGCGTTCATGCGAGGCGGGTTGTTGACGGTCAGCACGGCGACACCAGAGTCCTGCTTCAGCAGGTCCACGGAGCCACCGGGGAAGGCCCGCAGCTGGTCTCGGACCTCGTCCGGGTCAAAGCCGTGGACGCTGGAGTAAACGCAGCCACGGGTCGGCCTCTGCAGCAGCCTTGAAGGAACGCAGGGTGGACAGCGTTCAGCTATAAACTCATGAGGGGACGCGTGTTTGAAAGTCTCAGCCGGGTGAATGCTGAGTCAGCTTTACAACAGAAGAGTCAGCGTTTCTGTCGTTTTACTGCCTTTACTTCTTTAACAAACTGCTTCTGCATACGTTGTGCTAGTTTAACTATTCATATATCAAAACTTTCAGCTCAGTCAGGAACAAGGTGCCATGGCCTAAGGTTTTATATCCTTTCATATTTAACTTCATGTAAAGTGTAATTCCCCATCAGTCACTCATATTTTTATAAGATACTGTTCATTTTGAAACGTGCTTTCTTTCCTTTTGCGTCCTTATGCAACGTTCACCTTTCATTTAGCTCATTTTAGCTTTTAGCAAAGGTTTAGCTATTTTATACTTTTGGCTATTGTTTAGCTTAATTTAACTTGCAGCTATGGTTTTAGCTACTATTCTGTTAATTTTAGCTTTCAGCTAAGCTTCTGTTAATTTTAGCTTTATCCGCATCCACCAATCTTCTTTATCTGCGTTCCAAGCTGCCCATCTCCAGCAGTCACTGTGCGAGAGGCAGGGGACACATGGACAGGTCTCCTTGTCCACCACAGGGACACATGGAGACAAATGAGACAAACAACCATTCACTCTCTCACCTGGGACAACTTAGGGTTACTAATTAATCTAGCATGCATGTTTTTGGTGTGTGGAGCACCACAAGCACACGGGGAGATCGTGTAAATCCAGAAAGGCTCCAGGTGGGAGCCGAACCTGCGACCTTCTTGCTGTGAGGCAGCAGCTACAACCGCCGCTCCACCATGGCGCACAACTTTAACTACAGTTTTGCATATTTTAGCATTTTCTTCCAGTTTGGCTAGTTTTACCTCTTAGCTGCAACTTTACTTGTTTTTGTTTTTAGCTGTGATTTTTATCACTTTCTCTCTGAGCTACTGTTTTATTAACGTTCTTTTGAAGCAACAGTGAAGCTAAATGTAGTGTTTTAATTACAACGTTAGCTTTCGGTTTGCCAAATATAAGTTTCAGCTTCCGTTTTTCTCAATTTCACCATCTGTTCGGCTCGTTTTCACTTTTTAACATGAGTTTGTTCAAAACATTTCAAGAATGTGTCAAAAATTCATCATCCGACGGCAGAAGATGCAGATATTTCTAGTTCCCACTGAATTTGTGCGCTGCTCAAATAAACGAGGATTCAAATTCAGACTAACTAAATGTCATGAAGCTGTTTGAGACGGACGCGCAGATAAAATAAAGATGAATGCTTTTAATCCAATCAGTCATTTAAGGTGAGAAACATGTGAAACACAAAAACACCTTCAAGGTTGGGATTAATCATTAAAACTCTTCAGGTTCATGAACAGTTTGTGAACGATGTAGGTTTACCTCAGGAACTTTCTGTTCCTTTATTTATGACTTGATTTACCATCATGATGATAAGATACGTAGGCAGGAGTTCATTACCCGGTCCAGACTGCAGACCCGGTCCTCAGGAGCTCTCGCTTCAGCGCACAGAAGACCATCCTGCTGACGAGGAACAGGGACGTGTTGGTTAATCACCGGAACAGCTTCAGAGTTCACAGAGCAGTCGTGCTTTTCCTTTAACCTCAGAACGTCTTCAAGCATCACAGCACACTTTTAACACCCGAGTCTAGCGTCACTTTTTAATAGCTTAACTTCCAACTCGGCCAAAAAACTAAATATTTCAGCTTTTTGACTGAACAGAGCTTTTAGCTTCCAAATCTTCCACCGTCGCCCTTCAGCTGCTCCTGCTGAATAAAAACCATCTCCTCAACGCTCAGATTTTTCTCAGCAGTTTCACAGAAAGTGCAATAAGTATTTTCTAGCAGCAGAGTGTTTCTGTCAATTCTTTTCCATGCACATCATACAAACGGTACGGATCAATTATACAATAGATCGTTAGAGCCCCAACAATAGGTCGCCAGTGCCCTAACGATCTATTGTTAGGCTGATGGTCCTCCTTTTGCACGTGAACAGCTACTTCTGGCTGTCAGCAGCAAACTGGTTGGTCCACTATGACAAGGAGCTATTTTTATTTATAATTAAATAAAAATTATTACTTAATTACTTAAAAATTAAATTATTTTTAGGACTGAGTTTTCTTGCAGGGCTTCAGACTGAAGAAGTCTTTTGGATGAAAGATGAAACGTTTCAACAAGAAGAATCCCCCCAGAGGACGTGACTTAACCTTGTCAACCTGGATTGTTGCGCAGCATCAGGACATGTACAAAATGTACATACAACTGCGAGACATTTCCCCCATGGCCAACAACAGGATGTTGGTGACACGTTTGGAGCTGTTCGAGCTTTCTTCACAGTACAAACATGTTTTAAAAAGTTTAAACGGATCACGGAAAGTTAGACTTTACATGATCAAACTGCCATTTTAATATCTTGAAAGGTTTTTAACACAATCACAGTTTACTCATTTTGGGAGTTTTTTTTTTTTTTTAACCACTGAATGGTCAACTGACCTTTCATGTTTGTCCAGTTATAAATAAGATGTCAAAAAGTTTCCAGTCTTTGCAAAGACTTCTCAGTACACAGCTGTTCTTGTTCCCATACAAATTAAACATCAAGACGGAGCGTTTAGTCTTTTCACCCTGTGTCTGCTTTAAGACTTGTTCTCTCACGTAACGCCTCACACTGCCAGGCTTCCACAGACTTCAGCTTTATTTTAGCTCCAAAGTGTCTTCTCAACGCTGAATCCTGATAATACGTGTCATGTTTCCCACACAAAACTGTGCAGGAGGACACAAATAAAAACACACGTGACCACCAGTCTTCTGATGCTTGCTGTTTAAGAAGATTAAAGATACGGCTTACAGTTTTTGTGCAGGAGCTGTTTCATGGTTCTGCCTGAGTGCAGTCAGGGAGTGACAGACACAGGTGTGGTTACCATGGTTACCCTAATGAGCCACTGGCAGCAGCTTTAACGTTTGGTTCTCTTTATACATCAAAATGTTTGTAGATTGTTACTAATCTGAAGTAGCTGACTTCTAAATATTTACCTGAATTTTATTTTATTATTATTTCTGGCACTCGTGTGCTTCCAGGCAGGACGAGGACACTTGGACAGCCTAGGACAATGTCCACTGCCACTTTGGACGTATAGCAACAAGGACAGGTTGCTTTTTAATGAGCTATAGCAGTCGGATCATTTAGCTGTTAAAAATAAATATTTATTTATCATTAAGAGCCTCCACAAGCAACTGTCTAAATATATTCCTCGTTGAAACAATTTCAAACTAGTAGTAAACATGTAAACACCACACCAAAAAGACCGGGAGTCGAACCTACGACCAGCTCTTACCGCTTCCCACCCACTCTCCCAGCTTTAACTCACACAGAATATAAGCAGCAACTAAAACCGATCTATTCAGGAAAATAACTGAAATCGTCTGTAAAATGTGAGAAAATAACAAAACTATCAGCACCAACCTTGGCGGTGTTGCTCTAAAATCTGCACCACCAGAAACTGAAGCCACGGCGGAACTCATGTCACTGAAGGGAGGCGCATTTCTAAAAGTCACCACAAGAGGGCGTCAGACACATGGGGAATTTAGTATTAACCAGATCAACTTTAAGCAAAAAATCATTTATTTAAAAAAAATACGCATTTGGCTCAAAAATAAAATGTTTTATGTTTTTTAGTCAGATTAAAATGCCTTGTTTACAATAAAAATTAGATTATTGAGAAATTTTAATTGAAAGTGTTAAAACAAATTAGTTTTTATGTCTAAGGCAATACAAATATGTCTATATATAGTAAAACTTCAGTTACAGTCGGCTGTAAAAATTATTCACTGCTCATGGTTTTGGAATTAAATTTAAATCCAAATCTGATTATTATTATTAGTTTTACAGAATTTACTAATAGTAATCAAAGTAAAATTTTAAATATGGTTTGGGCATGAAGGGATAGTGGGTATATTGGTAGAAGGATGTTAGAAATGCAGCTGCCAGGAAAAAGACAAAGAGGAGATGTATGGACGCAGTTAGAGAGGACATGGAGGTAGATGGAGTGAAGATGGAGGAAATGGAAGAGGATGACTTGCTGTGGTGACCCCTGAAGGGGGGGAAGACGAAAGAAAAAGAAGAAGAAGCTTCAGCAGTAGGTTCAAGGTCCTTGTCCTGCAGCAAGGTGAACTTCTGTTCTATCTATCTATCTATCTATCTATCTATCTATCTATCTATCTATCTATCTATCTATCTATCTATCTATCTATCTATCA